CAAGTTGAATAATCTGCACTTACTGGTTGCGATCCATGGGGTTGATGTCTGTGCCACTATGCCATTCATGTCAACGATCCATGAGCCTGATCAACGACGAACGGCACAACGGCTGGATTTGCAATCGTCGAGCGTGCCGCACTGGACCGTCGTACGAGTAACGCAGAGAAGTCTACCTCATCGCCGAAATAACTCCTTCAAGAGAAACTGTAACCTTTCCTGAGTCCACGGTGTTCGCACTGCCCTATTTCTGGCTGCGCGACATGGGCAAGGTGAAGGACAAGGAATACGAGCTCAACGTCGGCCACACCAGTTCAATTCAGTGGGAGCGGTTCTTCCGCGACGTATGTGTGGGGCACTTCAGGAGGAACCCGCCGATCATCGGAAGGTTCGGGTGCGAGATGGAAATTGACGAAACACTGGTTATCAAACGCAAATACAACCGCCGACGTTGGGTACGCAGGCACAAGTGGCTGTTTGGAGGCATTGAAAGAGGAAGTGGACTCCTTCGGATGGTCCGAAGGAAAGACGTTTCAACTCTACTGCGGCTCATCATGAAGTAGTACATCGAGCACGGTACTACCATCCTCAGTGACAGCTGGAGAGCTTACAGTCGAATTGCTGCTCTGCCCAACGCATACAGGCATCTCCAGTGAAAACGTGAAATATGCTTCTGGCTTAGCTCACAGTTTTCCACGGTCTGGCTCCTTCCTGTCGTGGGAAAGTCTCCGATTCGATGACCTTTTCCACGGTCTGACAGTCGGCGCTCTGAGAAAGGTGCCTAAGAGTACGCTCTGACTGTGAAGTGTTGTTTGTGACACCACATGGCGCCGGCGTCAAGACTGAATATTATACACACGTTTTCAGCGGATTTGGTGGAAACAGCCGTGGCGCCAAATTGGCGCCAAACGGCGCCAAATGGCGCCAGCGCCAAAAACGGGTGTCGTTTTCGTAATCAGGACCCCAAATAACCCCAAATGACGAAGTTTCAGCAGATTTGGTGAAAACAGCCGTGGCGCCAAATGGCGCCAAATGACACCAGCATCAAAAATGAATGTCATATTCGTAATCAGGGCATCGAATTACCCCAATAGACAAAGTTTCGACGAAAAATGAAACTTTGAGATTTTGGGGCAGTAATCGTGGGATAGTGCCCAATCCGGCAATAGGGGAAGGCTGAAAACGGTGAAAAACCAAAGTTTCAACTGGGAAGTAATGCATATCATTCGATAGCATTTTTCACGGGGAAGCTAACGGGGCACATTTCAGGTCTGCGAGTTCATCTGGAAATGCAAAAAATCTGAACTTTCCACAAGGGCATGACGAGGAGGCATGTTTGGGGCCACACCACGGAAGGAACGCTCACTTGCGACCGAGTTTTCCACATAATTCCTACAGACAAGTGACCGTAGTCTACGACAGTGAAGGAAATTCTTCGCTATCTTCACAGCTTTCTGCAAACATTCCTCTAAAAAAATGGGACTTGTCACGTAATAGGCCCACTATGCCTGCTGAGAACTGTAAATTTCACTTGAAATACAAGGATGGAGCCCCCGATACAGCAGCGTTGGGTAGGACCGCTCTGGAGAGGCTGCTAGAATCTCAGGGCCCGTAATGGGCTGCCTAAACGAAGAAGGACTAAGATGGCGATCTTTCAACGCACGAACGCTTGCATCCGAAGCTCACATCGAAGATCTGATGATGCAGGCCAGGAAGATCAAGTACGACGTCATCGGACTGACCGAGACGAGAAGGCACCGCCCGCTACACGCCGTTTTCGATACTGGAGAAGAACTGTTCCTTGGAACATGCGACAGCAGAGGCGTTGGCGGTGTGGGTGTCCTCGTCAACACGCACTTGGCCATAAACATCGATTCGTACGGAAAAACCGGGTGCCTTACACCGAATCGGAACGTTTAAAATTGAGAAATGTGGATTCAACTAGCCTGCTTTGGAAAAGGTTCTTCGCATTCTACGCACCAAACATCTGGTCCAGTCTACGACGAAGCAAGAACAAGCATCTAATTGAATTAAGAAAGTTCATCATAAACTTTTCGAAGTCACGTCGGCGATTGGCAACGCTACTAATGCCTGAGAAGGACGGCCTGAATAACTTCACAAATGGTGCTCACGAGTGGAATGGCAAATGACGTGGTCAGAAACATCTCAGCGTTCATCATACGATCAAAATCATGTATGGCCACTCACAGCTCCAAAGCCCCCTCTTCTTAGTTGGACTTGGAGCAGGATCAACCCTACGTTGGTACAAGTACCAACGGGGGGGTCGTACTTGGTTTAGCTTGGAGGGGGGGTCGTACCCACTTTAGTCGCTTGAAATCACGTGTGGGATTGAGGTGAAACTAAGATTTCGTGGGTAGTAGGCTGGGCGAGTGGAGGGCGCGCAGGATAAAAATTTGCCGTTTCAGCGGGCGTATATACCCCCGCTCGACGGCATTTTTGGAGGAAAAAGTGGGCGGGTTTGGTGAGTTGAGTGGTATCAGAATTAAGTACTATAGAGACGATGATGGTGGTCGAGGTGTCGAAAAGGGGGTCGTATCAAATCCACCTTGGGGGAGGGGGGTCGTAAATTTTAAAGAACAACAACGATAGGACCGACCCTGCTGAGTCACCGGATGAACATTCTAACGAAATATCTTCACATCACAATCAAATCGAAGGCTTTTTCCTGACCGACGTCTATGCCAAAACACTAGCCAAGGGATTGGGACGCAGCGTCCTCCTCGCGCCGCAAGATCTACTTCTCGTGCTGAAATATAATCAAAAGTTGAGGAACGAAAGCAACAGGACCAATCAAAGCTCATGAAGAGATCCGTATCGAGAACATCGACGAGGAATATCATCGGCTCGTTGAACACCTTCACGAGAGTGTGCAGGAAGGCAGAGAGTTTACAAGTCACCAAAGGACGTCTGTCTACGGAAACTCTCGAGCTGATACGCCAACGTGGAGCCGCACGAGCTGCAGGCAATCACCGACTCACGTCCGAGCTTGCGAAGCTATGCAGAGAGGCGATAAAGGAAGATCTCAAGTAGAAAATCTAATAAAGCAATCCAGATTAAAAGCAGCAGTTTTAGCTAAAATCAGTTCAGATTTGGAGAGCATCCGCAATGCCCGCCGGAGCTTTGCCAGCTACAAGGCCAAAGTGACCTGCCTTCGACGTCCTGCTGGGAACAGTGACTGCATCCCGAAGGGTAATGGAGGAAGTAATCCACAACTTCTATCAGATCTCTCCATTCAATTGGGAACAATCTTGCTAGTAATAATATGACAGCTTCCGCTGCGCTGTCTGTAGACTTTATTTTTTTTTCTTGTTTTCTCCATTCCTTGTGCAAGGATTGTGAAGCTCGAAAGTGCGACCAATACAGTTGACTCAAACGTGTTGGTTTTTTTGCCTGTCAAGGCTGTAGGAGGGCACTTTCAACCGCTTGGCCTAACAACTAGACGGAATCGTCGTCCTCACAGGCCTGTACATGTTTTAGGGTCAAATTTACGTTTGCTAGAGCATGCAATCAAGTCTGTCGGTTTCGAAATCATGTCAGGAATCCACGATAGGAGCCGCAATGCATGAGCATCTCAACAGTCCCACCACTAGAGCGAATGTGCCATTCGAGAGCGTTTGGTTACTTGCGAATAGTACCTCATGTCTTCTTCTACCGAAATTGTCACTAGTCCTCTCGTAGCATTTCATCGCTCTTCACCTTCCAGACGGGTAATGAATCATTTTATCGAATGACATTCATATTAGGTTCATTGTAAATTTTCAACTGTGTGAAGTGCCAATCGATGGCTTCCAATGCTTTTCTCCCGAAATTCTATCTCATGCGCTTGGTTTTGAAATTTCCACGATGCTCCTCAACTTTATGCCATCCATGGACAGTTTGAAGGCTCAGACCGCGCCTCTTCCTGCAGGATATTCCTTAGCTCTTTCAACCCTTGAGTACCTTCCGAAAAAAATTTTCTATGGTAATGCTTATTACTTATGCACTTATATATAAGTAACATAGAAATGAGCTTTGGAGTCTTTCTGACCATAAACTCAGAAAGCAGAAAGCCTTCCAGCTTCCTGCTTTGTCAGTAGTAGAGTATCCCAAATCTTCTTAGTTATCGTCGATACATTCATCGGTCTTGCACAACATTGATTCACTTTTCGGTAACAATAGCAATATCTTAATAATTTAATTGTGTGATAAGTAATAAGGGGTGGGTGCATAAATAGGTGACAAATCAAACTAAAGCTGCAACAAATGGCAGAGCTCATGACTAGACCATCAGATTGCCATTGCCTTTTGTAAATAATGCCATGACTATTTAGTTTTACGGTCTTTGTTTGGTGAGTGGCTTCACTTTATCCGAAGTGCGATTTTCAGTCTCATGTAGTGCCGGGTAAACCGTTTCGAGAATAGCCGTTTTAGCCGCAGAATGCATAGCCGAACCGTCGTGCGACTCTGCTTTCAGTACACGTAACTGTCTTTCTCCTAGAGGTCGACCCGCTTATAGGGAAAGAGTAGCTGTGTCATAGTTCCAAAAAGCGTATCCCCCACGATTTAGCGAGGACCAGCGAGCGTGAAATTGGCTAACAGATTCAAAATTCGGTGGATGATGCGAGGAGTCCTGCATAGAAAGCTTGTAATATTTCGGCGTTCATTTGGAGGAAGAAGCATTTTGAGATGCTTCGAACGGTTCTCCCGCACTTCGGCGGCCAACTTTAGGAGTTAATCTATGGCTAATTTTGCAATGCTTGTCCATATAAGGTGAGGCGGTTCTCAGAAAGGGATACTCAGCGAACCACACATAGCAGGCAACATCACACATCAATCGCAGGTGATGAATAGAGCTTCGCTGCTCCAGTTTTAAATGTTTGCTACAGTTTTCCTGTGGAGCACCGATCATCTCGATCCATATCGCCAAGAGTCCTCATCCAAAAGTGACTGGAGATCCATGTAGGTTTAACTTGACAAGCTTTTTTCTTAACTTTTTTCAGCTTAAATCGTCACGCTACAATAAAAACCACACCCGGTGAATCACCATTTGGGCTCTGCAGCAAACTTATTGGAGAATTGAAATAAGCTAAATGCAGTAGTTCCCATGTCCGTCTTTCTTGAAACCTGGGCATTCTTCATGAGTGTTTTTGTTAGTGCTGTGCCATACAGGTTTTTTAGGGTGGAATATTTATTATGCCTGACGTTTCGACGATTTCGTCGTTATCAAAGGCCTGAAAGCATATCGAAACGTCTTGTGATGTTGCCGTTCCGCTCATAGCTGACCCACTCCTACTAAATGTAACAGCTCCCCCGCGCGACTACGCGCGACTACGCGCGACTCATAGAGCAGAAGTTCGAATAACGGTCAACTCACCTTAATTCCACCAGGACGGGCCGCTCAGCTCCGCGAGTCAATGGAGAAAGTGAGACTGACCGCTTGTGTGCTGCTAGCAAAGTGCGCACGTGCCGTACGTTACGTTTGCCTAATCAGAGCTCACAAAGCGGAATGTATGGCAAGAAATCATCAGTTATGGAAATGCACTCATTCCTGTTATTCATACTCGGATTGCGTTGTTTTATCCAGAAGGCCTCGAGAGTTTTCCTAGCACCGATATCACTCTCGTACGCCAGAATCGTGCACTTAACGTCAAAGTCACAACCCGCATGACTTTCCCTCCTATGTTTGCCAAGTGGTGCGGTCAAACTTCCCTTCGTTTACTAGCCAGATGTTCTTTTATACGTACACCCAACTGTCTCCCAGTTTCTCCAATGTACAAGGCGTTACATGTTGAACACTGAAGCTGGTAAACCACAGATCTTTGTGCACAGTCTCCTACCTTTCCATACGGGCAGATCACGCAGTTATCCATGGTGCAATTCCGGTCGTAGAGCGATTCCTGACCAATTGATCGAATTATGGACAGTAGAGACGTGCACAAAGATCTGTGGTTCTGTATATTTGGAATTAAGGTGAGTTGACCGTTATTCGAACTTCTGCCCTATGAGTTTTCTCGCGCGTAGTCGCGCGTAGTCGCGCGGGGGAGCTGTTACATTTAGTAGGAGTGGGTCAGCTATGAGCGGAACGGCAACATCACAAGACGTTTCGATATGCTTTCAGGCCTTTGATAACGACGAAATCGTCGAAACGTCAGGCATAATAAATATTCCACCCTAAAAAACCTGTATGGCACAGCACTAACACAAACAAATCTTAATTGAGAGTTTTGATAGTGGATTCCCTGTTCGTTACCACACTTGTGAGCGCGGCGGAGCTTCCTTCCAAAATTGGGTGTCCTCCCCGAGAATTCCTGTCGATTTTGTTCTCAAAAATTTCCTCACTGATCAAAGTTAGAAATTTTGAATTGGAACAAAAACAACTTGTTTTGAACCAAGGAACTATGGTAAGCAACCTAATTTTCGGAGGAGCCTCCCGCCTCCTCGCACTATGGTAACGAATGGGAAGCACAACGAGGCAATTAAGCCAAAAAGATAAAGCATTTGCCTGATAATTCCTTTTTGGATCGCACGCACTACTTCCCACTTGTACATTCGCAAGGGCATTGAATAACGATGTGGCCAAAACCAAAAAAAAAAATAAAAAAAAAAAATAAAAAAAAAAAAAAAAAAAAATTATACAATGACTTGCGGGGGCCAGCCGATGTACAAGTCAGTGTTTTTATCCTCCCAGACAAGTCTGGTACCAATTAACCGACCCCGGAGGGATGGAAGGCTTGGTTGGCCCGGGCGACTCACGACCCAGGATTTGATCCCCGGACCGCTCGCGTGGTAAGCGCGCCACTTGTCACTACACCACTTCCGCCCTATGAAGCATTAGCCAATTCAATTTCTTGAAAAGTCTTGCTGCAGAGCCCATTATATTGATTCGGGTATTAATTAATCCTTATTGTGGTCACATTAAGGACTAAAAGTGCGTGAGCAGTAACTTTTAATGGGTCGCTTGCAATTATGCTCAAAAATTATAGATATTTCCGGCTGTATCAAAGGCAATTTCCTCATGATACGGTTGAAGAAGACTCAGAAATCAAAGGCGTCCGTTTTGAATAAGAAATGTTAACAGTTGTCTGGAAGGATATGCTCATACGTTGCTGTGCTTGATCTTCCGTTCGACCTTTATGGTCCGAACTGGACCGCCCACTTGTCACCTTAATGCCCGCACCCTGAGTAAGACACATACTCTGGCAGCTTGCAAAAAACAACACAATTCAGTGTGCACTTACAGCACACACAGTACTTATGTGTGCTAGGCACTTATATACACACTCTTATGAGATTACTGTAGCACACAATAAAACAGCAGGTAGGAAGCAATTAAAGGTCGGCTAAAGCGCTCCCTACCACTGAGTAGTGGAAGTAGCTGTTACGCCGGTTATGCAGACATCTGAATTCGATTTTGGCAACTGCCATCCCCAGGGCCGAAAGGATCAAAGAAAAATTCGCGTGCGAAAAATTACCCGATAAAATTCACGAAATACCCATTTCGCGACGTTCCGCGTCATTGACGTCTCGAAGTGCCTTACATATCCAAGCACCTTACCTTAAGAGCATACTAACCAGCGTCCGCTTTCAAGAGTGAATGATTCGTCTGCGTAGTGCGGATATATGACGCACCACCTAGCATCACTATTCACCTTTTAACAGGATCTAGATCTGATCTCAGGGAAAATGCTCCTATGAACCTTCTCGTTTCGTCAACATCGCAATTTCTTGTTATACACTGCTTGATTGCATTGCCTACTGGTTTATTATTGCTGTGCTATTGTACCAGCATTCTTCACCGTTTTCTCGTCAGGATTGCCTCAAACAAGTCCCATTTGGAAAGGAAATCCAAGACACGTGTGACCTTGACGATTGCATTCTTTTGGGCAGGTCACTTATTGGCACATATATCAACACAAAATACTATCTTTCAGAAGTAATACGTCAGTTCTAATACGACATTACAGGTTTCCTATTACTCGTTTCAGCAGATCAAAAATTTGCGTATCGATACATAATACTCGTATCGGTTGGCTTTCTTGGCAATGGATCGATTTGTATCTTGGGGCAGCAACCGCAGCAGAACACCGTCAGAAGCATTGCACGTCTAAAAGGATGTGATTGACTAAGCCAACAATTCCATAGTAATAGCCATTACTGGCATAGATGAACGGTTACTCCACTCTCTATTGTTGTATTCCTTGGGAACCTATGACGAACCTGTATGGAGGCAGGAAGGCGACGGTGATAATGCTCATAAACAGAGGACGATGGAATTGAATGATGAACTCGATCATTTCGCAGATGGACATCACAACCTTCGTCGTCGGGGCGGCATTGCCATTGAACGCAATTAACCAGGTGAAATCGTTCACTAAACGAGAACTAAGGTATGACAACGTTTAATTATGCGCAATCACTCCCATTTTCTAGCAATTGCCTCTGTTTCAAGCAACATATCTTTTCATGGAATTGTACACCACAGAACCAGCAAGCAAATTTAAGAGCACGAATAGAGGAATAATCGCAGGTCATGCATCTCACATGTGAGAGCTTATAATACAATCTATTCCGCCCTTTACGTTAAGATTAACAAAAAGGTACTTAGTTATGGAAGAACTCAACCAAAGATGGAATTCTACTCGTTCACCAGACAAGTTTGATACTAAATAGTTACACTACCAAGGCCCTATTTTCCCCGACTCAGCTCTTGATGGTATATTTACTATCAGCTTGGCTCTGCTCGTTACCGCGCGCAAGTCAAAATAGGGTCACTGAGCATTCGGACTTTTGTATCAAACAGCAGGCACGCTTCTGAAGGATCTGACTGAAGTTATTAAAGAAAGTTAACCATAAAGCTTTTGAAAAAGCATTAATTTCCCGCGTTATCAATACCCATGAACAACATTTTCTTATAACATTCATTTATTTATCTATCACTTCATTATATAAACCAGAAGTTTGGTGTGTCGGTTTGTTTGTGTGTATGCACGTCTGTCTGTCCGTCCGCAAAATGGTCGACTAGAGGCGAAAGATATCGTGATTGTGATAACATTTTCCTACCAGTATATAAACAACCATTCAGTAAGGTCGAATTCATTTCAGGAGGGTGGCTGTTGCTGTGTGAGTTGAGTCAGGTCTGTGGAGGGTCACCGCGCGACGTCGTACATACGTGCGGCTGCCGCGTGCCAAGACCGCGCGACAAATTTGAGCGAGATTTACGCATCTTGATGCTTCGCGTGCCTGCGCCTGTGTATGTCATTCGTCCTGCTCACTTTTTCCTTCTCTTTCATTATTGAATATTTTTCTTCTAATCTTTCTTGATTTTTGCTTTTCTTCATTATTCTTCCTTCGTTTGACATTGAGCTTGATCCAAGCGTTCGCGTTGACACTAGAGCGTTCATACTTACAAGTGTTGTGTGGGGTGGTACCGGGGCATTGTTTGTGGGTGAAGAGGGATTATAACAACTGATAAGGAAGGGCTGTTAGGGCGCCTTCACACGCTAAAGGCCCCATTCAGTTGCGCAGGTGGCGTTGACACTTGAGCGTTCATTTTTGCAAGTGTTAGTGAGGTGGTACCAAGACGTCATTGGTGGGGCTCTGATAGAGGCAGAAGAGGAGTCTTGAAAGGCAAAAGTCGTCAATTCCGTTGCGCAGTGCACGTTGGTACTAGGGTCTTCTTACTCACAAGTGTTATGTGGGATGTGACGTGGACATTCTATCGATATAACCAGTTTAGCTTGAGCAGATTCTTGGCGAATGATACATTTCATTCTTGATCTAATACCAAGAAGGCCAGAACTCATTTGATGACCGCTAAACTTTGGGATTTTTGAGCCCTTTTAATTTTAAGGCTAACAGCATCCTATTCAGCGCTGAATTATCAGAATTCAGGAGGAATGCTGAGTGTTTACAGGGCTATGTGTGATAAATATACCAGCTTAGCTTCGTACGCTATCATGCTCATCCATAAGAGCTCAATGATACGGGAGAGCCTGCGGAACCTTAGGTCGTGTGAAGCGCGCGATATCGGACGGAGCAAGGCTGGTTTTCTTAAAAATAAGCTTGGATTTTAATTTTTTTAAATTTTTATTTTAACATGATCATTCGGCAGCTTACTATCCAGCCTTTAGCGTGAATGAATACCATGCTCTGAATGTGCTGATGGCTTAGCGCTTGAACTTCTTCTTATATCTGATATTGGAAAGAAACACCAATAGTCATAGCAGGATCAGCCGACCAAGTCTCACGTGGGTCGTATTCGACCGACGGGAGAAGGGGTCTTAGTCGCAAGTAAACGTCGCAGTGCGTGAAATGACGAATATAATACAGATGCGAATTAGGCTAAGGCTCACTGCATTAAACGATTAGAATGAGTACATTTGCTGTTGCGACAGTAGAGAAGTATAACTTCAAACTGCCTCTCCAACTATTAACCGCAAGCGAGTGCATGCACCTCAGAGCAGAGTATCCTGCAAAAGTGAGCATATTTGACTGCTCACGTACACAAATATGCTGTCGAGGAAAAATAATGTCTTCAAACTAGACCTAACATGGTAAAAGAGTGGTCACCTGGGCAGATCGAGTGCTAAGCTTACAAAAAAGTTTGGAAAGAAAATATTTGCCTGTCGGCGCAACTTGCTGAGAAGAATTTAGCGTGCTATAAGCACAAAGCTTGTGAGATCTCATGTTATCAGTATTACCCATGAAATTGAGTTTTAGGAGAGCGGTGAGTGTTTGAATGCTGGGAACTCGTGTTTTCAGGCTCTGAAATTTTATGGAGAATAAACGGTGCAACAATACGATCTTTTGAGAGGTGACTCCGTGGTTGAGGCAAGATACACGAAGTTGGCGGAGATCCGCCCACAATGCGCGGAGTGCGGAGCGCGCTTCGAAGTGTACAGCGTTTTCTACAAGTCCTCACAATTCGGGTCGGAGAAGTCTTAGTGAGCCGGAAATTTCGGGTCGGAGACGTCTTAGTAAGCCGGAACCGAGTCTCCCCAATCGTTCCAGCATACATGACGTTGGCGGAGGTCCGCCCACAATGGGCGGAGCGCGCTCTGAAGTGTACAGCGTTTTTCTACAAGTCCTCATAATTCGGGTCCGGAGAAGTCTTAGTGAGCCGGAAAAAGGTGGATAGAGGTGGTGGAGGAGTGGAGGTTAACCGTCGTCGGTGGGCATGACCAAAGTGGGGAGACCGGGAAAAAGTGGATAGGAATGGGTAAAGGAGCGAAGGCTAACCGTCATCGGTGGGCGGGGCATGGTCAAATTGGGCGGACTTTGCGACGGGAATTCATAACTCGGTTTCAAGAAGTCCTGGAAACCAGGAGAAACGTGAATTGAGTCCGTCAACGGAAGGGAGGTCAACTGCTGTTGAGGTGGGCCGTGCACCAACGTGGGCGGAGTTTGCTCTAAAGTTATAATTTAGTTCCGAGAAGTCCAGGAGACTGGCAAAATAGTGGGTCGAGTCCGACAACGCACGGGAGGACAACTGGTGGGTGGAGCGCGCTTTGAAGTGTACAGCGTTTTCTACAAGTCCTCACAATTCGGGTCGGAGAAGCCTTAGTGAGCCGGAAAAAGGTGGATGGAGGTAGGTGGAAAGTGGAAGTTAACCGCGTCATCGGGTTGGCGGGCATAATCACAGGCGGAGTTTATCCACGAAGCATATCACGACTCGGTCCAAGAAGTCCCGGGCCCGGGAAAAAGGTGGATGGAGGTGGGTGGAGGAGTGGAGGCCAGCTGTCATCGGTGGGCGGGGCATGACCAAAGTGGGCGGAGTTTGCGACGAAAATTCATAACTCGGTTCCAAGAAGTCCAGGAGGCTGGGAAAAAGGGAGTAGAGTTCGTCAACGGAAGGGAGGTCAACTGCTATTGGTGGGTAGGGCGTGCACCAACGTGGGCGGAGTTTGCCCCAAACTCACAATTTAGTTCGGAGAAGTCCAGGAGACCGGGAAAAGAGTGGGTAGAGTCCGACAACGCACGGGAGGACAGATGCTATTGGTGGGTAGAGCGTACACCAAAGTGGGCGGAGTTTGCGACGGAAATTCATAACTCGGTTCCAAGAAGTCCCGGAGACCGGGAAAAAGGTGGATAGAGGTGGGTGAAGGAGTGAAGCCCAACTGTTGTTGGTGGGCGGGGCATTTCCAAGGTGGGCGGAGTTCTCCACAAAACTTTGTGACTCGGCTGCAAGAAGTCCTGAAGACCGGGAGAGAAGTGGGCGAAGGAAAGGAAGTGAATTTCTAATGGTGTGCGGAGGATACACCAGAAGAGCAGGATTCGCCGCCATAAATCGGCTCAGAGTAGTTCAAAGACTGGGATGAGGTGAGACATGCAAAGAAATAGGCGGAGTTTACCACGAGGTTCATAAATCGGTCCGGAGGTAGTCCGAGGCCGGGATAAACGGACAATTGGTTGACCATTCCTGACAATTGGTGGAGGAAGGAGGAAGGTCAAAAGCCATCGGTGGATGAAGCATGGGGCAATCGGTTAGAATTCAGCTTGAAAGTCAAATATTCGACGTGTATTGGACCAAATTCGAATATCCTACATCCTATATCGCGGCAGAACTGTGCTGTGCGCGCAATGCGCGCGTCGCAAACTGGTGTTCTTATACGCTCTCCTATGCCGCTCATTTTCTCCTGCTCAAGCTCTAAGCAAGCCATTCACCTATGCTGATCTTTTCCTGATACCAAAGCAGAACTGGAACACTTGGAGAAGGATCGTGTTTGTTCGTTGGGGCGGAATGAGGCATGACATAGGACCTTGTCCAAAAACATCGGTTTCCCGGGAAATAGTTGTGCCTGTAAACAATCACATATTAACCAATTTGCTGGAACTCTTCTTGCTCTGGAATGCATAATGCGCAGGCTTACAGTCCATTTACCCCCAGGTACGCCCGTTCTCCGTTTGAATTATCTGAACGAATGGGTGACTTTCACTTCAAAGAGAAATAAACACTCTTAGTATTGTGCTGTCCCGGAGCCTCATCAGGACCTAAATTTGTTTAACACAGAGAAGCTCCAAAAGTTTTATTCCAAAAGAATTCCAAAAGTTCACAAAAGTCCAAATACTCCAAAAAAACGAGCCAAAAATTTAAAAGAATCCTTTGGAAACTTCCGCGATATTCCGAAATAATTCTCCGAATTTGGAATTGTTAAACAAATTTAGAAATAACACCTTCATCATACTTACATTGATACTATTGTTCCTCAGTGAAGCTAGTCTACTGTTTGAGTACAGCCTCATCCAGCCGGCTAAAATATTTCAATGAAAGGAAAACCAAAATGAAGAATTTGGTTGCAGCCTTAGGATCTGATGCTGGTCCGCTTCTGCCCACCATGTGGTGCAAGCGCTTTGGCGTGCTGAGCTTACTTTGTGGGTTTATGACAAGACTTTAGATGCGGTAGCAGTGAAGATTTTCTTCCAACAGTGGTCTGAAAAAACACCTCACCAAGAATGGGATGAACCGCAATGTATGCGCAGAATCAATAAACAACGTCCCATGTAATCACTTCGAGGCATCCTCTAGCTGCAGTCGTCGAAGTTCCGCATGAGTGTATGGAAGCTCCCGACCCAACAGCAGAAATGACTAGAACAAATTACTGAGCTTGATTAGATTTCCTCAAATCGAAACATGCAACATTTGGTATGTTTGAGCTTTTCTCGTGCACTTTATGCAAAACTCCGTTCGTCTTTATAATCTTTCCTTCAACTGAGAAGTTGTGTTTTCGTAATTCTGATAGATGAGCGCCACTTACTGTCAGGATCTGCCCACTTATGATGAGGAATCCGACAATCATCACCACACGCGATGAAATTGAAAGAACTCTCAACGCGACATCCGTGGTGCCATCGGAGATGTAGTAGACCACGCACAGGAAGAATGGAATAATCTGCGCCACGACACAAATCATACTGAAATGGTAATCGGTAATTCACGCTGCAGTTTAGTTTTCAGTATTGGTTCTTTTGTTCTCGTGAAGTTCAAGGAGTATGAGATCACTAAGGTCAGCCTTTTCAAAGGGAAGCAGCGTCAGCAACAATAAATCCATATCCTCCTTCCCGTCCTTCCACTACTGACAGTGTTAGTTAAAAACCCGAGTAAATGCTATTCCAAGCTTGCAGTTAAAAAATTTCAGAGTCATCTACGGAAAAATCTCTCTGCAGACAGGTAACAGAAACATTCAAAAAATTCCACTTTCAAAGACAAATTGCACTTTCGGAGAAGAAATTGGAGGGGTACAGATTTTCTGGGATTGTGGAGAAAAACCTACTCCCAGTTGCAGAAAAATACTGCATATATTGACTTTATTTACGATGAAGCGAAAAAAAAGTGAAAAGAGAACTCACTTCAGGGGAAAGGCTTTAATTCGCTCCTCAGCCTGATAGGCAAGTCGACAGCAGTATAACAGTAAAATTAACATTACAAGAATATTGTAGTGAACATAGTCGTAGATTACATACAAAAGACTGTGCGTCCATCCCAAAAAGGTGCTAGAAAATGTTTCTTGAACGCTGATTTCTATGTCACTTATCTGTTTTCTATTATTCCACCACTTCTTTTCAAGCCTCGCTTGTCATTGTGTTCCTTGAAAGGAGAGCGCGCGACCAGATTGATGGGTTTTCGTTGGATTCCGTTTGAAAATGAAAGCACATTTACTGGGTAGACGGATTGTGAAGAAAAAGTTGGAAAGGAACCACTAAGAGCACTGAGAGTGAGAGCCTTTATTTATCCATAATGAAGAGAAGCAGCTAAGCGCGTAAGAGAGAGAAAGAACCGAAACGAGAGAGCATCACTACTAATTGGAGCTGGAGAGTAGATTCGGCCTATGGCGCCAATCTCGGAAGTGGGAACTCGTATACTAGGTGGAGCTCCCTATCGGTACATCCCGTGACTTGCTGATAGCTGTACCATTCTCGGACTCTCCAGTACCTATTAAGCCAGTTTCTTGTTATCACAGGAGATATCTATCTTTTTTTGCACAATAATTGCATTCATACTTACTTGAAGATATAATTGTACTGTGCCTCACTATCCGCAAATAAGCTGAGATAAGCAACTATTTCAGAGTAGATGTTGAAGATTTCCGTAAATGCGATCGGAATAAACATCGCCATGGTTATTGTCCTCATGAAGTCTTTTTCCATCTGAATAAACTTTGACACTGTATTGCATGATGTTATTTATCAACAAATCTCCCTCCCTTGATACGGAGGTGAATCGACAGGAAGTCTGAACGTAGTGATGTCCCTTGCAAATTGTCCGGTGATGACACGTCGGGTGGGACAATTTTCTTAATTCGCTGACGCAAGCTTCTTTTGGTGGAATTAGGAATAGTTTTATAACAAAATCTATGTACTTAGCGCCTAAGTTTGCTCTCGCGAAAGCATAACAATGAGTCTCGCTTACGCGTCTGCTCCGTCACGAGATACACCTTCGACTCAGCGCCATCAACGGCAGTGGATCTTGTTCAAGGAACTCCACTTCTAATAACTGTCACTCCCGAGATACGGCTTTCCAGCGATAGAGAATTTCTTAGTGATGAGGCAATTTCTCAACTCATGAAATATCGAGCGGAAACCAAATGTCAATTGATCCATTCCGAGTAATTTCCCTATGATTACATAGTGTTGATAAGTCGACGAAGTCTTAAATGATATGTTCTGGCAATTGTGATTGCGATTTTTCATCGATTCTAATGTAGCTTGAGTATGTGTTGTGCCTTTTTGCCATTATTAAAAATAAATAAATAATAAATAAATTATTCCTGTTGGTATGTTGGCTTTTTAAGCTCGTGGGTGCCGATTATGTTGCTTAGATTTTTTAAAAGATAAGCTCGTTATACAGTATAAAAGGAGGTGAGGAGAAGGAGCTGGGAGGTTTCTGCTTCACCACAAGTGCTCGCTCACAAGTTCGCCTAGAAAGAAAGGATTACAAGTTCTGGCTCCTTCGCCTCACAAGTTGAGATTGTAGGTCGGTCAGTATTGATATTGTCATAAAGCTGTGCAAGTACAGTGTTAGGAACAGTGAATCACAAGTCCCGCGTGGCAGTGTGAACAGAAAACGCTATTTAGAATAGCTGGCGTTTGAGTACTAGGGGAATAGACTCATCTACCGACCCCTTTCGAGGAGCTTGTCTTTCGATTTTCAGATATTCGATTGTGTCCGTTTTTTACCACAGAACCTTCACCTCAAAAGACAGCCTTGGGCTATTCCTGGCGCATAAGCGCACTTCGCAGTAATGGTTTTGCTGCGGTGTGAACTAAAGCGGAAAAGAAGACAAGTGAAAACACAACGATAAATAAGGCATAAACCTTGAACCTAAAGTAAGGTCGGATGTGGTACGACACAAAGACAGATAGATCAGAGAAGACAAAACTTGCGAGAGAGCACGTGTAGGAGAGCGCGCTGATCTCTACATCAATCACGGTGGGTTGGTAAAATTTGCATGGTTGCCATTCCTTAACGATTAGCGCCTTAAAAGCATGGTCCAGAGTGGGATTAGGCCTTCACTTCCTTCATCCCGAGCGTACTAGACAGGCGGGCAAGCGTTGATGTCACGCTCCTTTTGCGGCTTGAAAGTAGACAAAGGCGCTAGAAGCTCGACCCACAATCCCCTCCTTCATCTGCAAGCCCTGTCCTTTGG